CTCCCAAGCGATTGATCCATATCAAGACACCTTCAGTCCCCGCTTCTGAACTTGGCTTTGAGGCCGCCAAACAGGCTGTCTCGCTTGCGATCCGTAGCAGAGGCGGCATTGCCCGCTCGATTTGGGCTGATCGATAGAGAATTTCGCTTCGTTTCGACGGTCAAATCTCCTCCAAATATTTGTTGAGTTGCGCGTGTAGAGTCTGCCGTCTGCGGTCTCGATCGGCCGTTCCTGGTCGACGAAGCAGACGTCGAGCTTGTCACTGGAAAGCAGGTATCCGAGGTGTCCGAAGGTGCTCCACTAACCCGGCTGTTGAAGCTGCCATTCGACTCAGAAGGGCTCATTCCGGGCCTGGAGGGAGAAGACGACGCCTGACGTGATACGCTGCTCGAGCCGGAAAGGCCAACGGGCACGGGTCCTCCGACTCCCAGAGAATTTGATGTGCCTGCAATGACCGATAAGAAGGAGCTTGCGCGACGGTGCGATGGAGCTGCAGAGCGCGATCTCGGACTGGTGGGGCTTGTTGGCCGCTTTGCGTCTGCAGCATCATTTCCTCGTGAAGCCGGTCGACCCGAACCTCCCGTGGACGTCTGGATACCGCCGCTGTTGGCACGTCTTGGATACGCCGGTGGAGCGCCATTCCTCCGCAAGGGCCCATCGCTTTTCAACATCTGCTCCGGCAAACGATCGGCAGCAGCTAGATCCGCTTCTGAGATCTCAAGTGCGGGAGAAATATGGTTGTTGATGGCCGAGGAGACCCGCTGAGCAGATGCGGTGGATGACAGACCGCGTGCGTGATGTGATGCCTGCTGGATCTCGACTGCTGGGTGCAGATATGCCTTGCGAGCTTGGGATTCGATCACAGACTTATTAGCAGAGATCTCGTCTACCCAGTCAGCATCAGCGTCGGACTCGGTGATGCTGTCGAGGACGTGGGAGCTAGAGGTGGGCGTTGGTGGGACGTTAGCAGACATCATTCCGTGCAGGGCAGAATTTCTAGGTGATGGAGATCTGGCCGGCGGGGGATGGGCGAGGATGGAGGATGGCCAGGAAGAAGATGCGTTGCCCGTTGCAGAAGGTGTAGGCTGGGTCAATTCGATTGCTACACGTGGCCCTGGTGATGGAGCTCGGCCGGGCAAGCCTGAACTGAGAGGTGAAGGCGATCGCATCAAGTTTGGGCCCGTGGGGAAACGGCCTGGTGAAGGAGCGCGCACAGGTGGGGTGCCTGATCGAAGGGCATCGGGCGTGATTGCTCTTGCCATGCTGGAAAAGGTGCTAGTCCCTGGCGAGCCAGCTCTGTCGATCTGCCGAGCTTCCGCAAGGCGCCTCGCCTCTGGCGAGCCTATTCTTACTGGTGGGGTCCATCTGCGAAGCGCGCCAAAGGTAAAGGTGAGGTGAGTCGAGCTGGCTCCATACAGGCAGACAAAGATGGGAACTCACGGTCGTAGGGGAGCGTCGATGACTGCGCCCATCGGTACTTTGGGCGGTGGAGCTGC